TCGACACGTCACCTTGACGTGACTAAAACTAAAAAATAAAAAAAAAAACTACTCAATATTTTTGAATCAAAAAAAAAAAAAAAAAAAAAAAAAAAGAAAAAAAAAAAATTAAAGATGCGCCAATTTCTAATAATTTAAAGTTATTTGTAATAAATTGAAAAAAAAAAATGCGAAAATCTCAGGTTGAACTGTTCATTTTTGTAGTCTGCGAACCTCTAAAAAAAAAAAGATTATCTTGAAAACTAACATTCGCTTTTTTTCAGACTTAGCAATAATTAAAAAAAAAAACAAGAGCTAAAAGATTCACTAATCGTTTTTTTTAAAAAAATATTTTGACATAAAAAAAAACACATTCGCCACTAGAGAATTGCCCTTTTTTTTTCAAAAAAAAATCCATAACATAACTTACACAGTATGGTATACACGACTCTACTTTTTTTATGAAAAAAAAACTATATAATCAAAGGAGATTTATAATAATGGCTTCATTTAATTTTTTTTTAAAAAAAAAATTGCTTTGCCAATTTGGCAGCCATGGCTGCGTTTCTCATTTTTTTTTTTTTAAAAAAAAAACCAAACCATTTGTTGAATTTATCCATTAGCTAAAAAAGGATTTTTTTAAAAAAAAAAAAATCGAATAATACAAATATCGATTAAAAAAGTGTATATTCAATTTTTTTAATAAAAAAAAACTCTTTAAATACATTTGGTACCTTATTATTAGGCCCGAATATTTTTTTTATAAAAAAAAACTTTTATATTTAGTATTTTTATAGAAATGTTTTAGTTGATGTTTTTTTTTAAAAAAAAAAATTGTATGTGTAATATTATCGAAAACAAAACCGCAATCCTATTTTTTTCTTAAAAAAAAATTTATTTAAATGGAATGATGCTAATCATTTTTGAATAGGTACTGTTTACTGAAAAAAAAAGGTTTTTTAGAAGATTTTTATGCATACCTTATCCTCCGGTGGGAACAGTGGAAAAAAAAATTCTGTCAAGAAGTATTCCAGGAACTCCATTGGATTCAATGCTTCAGCCTTAAGGCGCATTTTTCGGGACACACTCAATGTATTAGATACGCTGTTCGCTATATCCCCAGAGTTATAAGCTTTCATAATTTTTGCCAATGCAGAATATGCGTAATTCTCTAAAGCTTCTGGAGCATTTTCGGTCATTAAATCCAGCCAAAGTAAAAAGCAAGTACCATAGTCGCATTTCGGAATTAGTAAGATTTTTTGGAAATTTCTCTTAAGGAGCGGTTTGGCCATCCAAGGTAAGCTTGTTGTACCGAGAAGTACAATTTTATCTGACTTTTTAATTGGCTTTAAAATTTTCTTCTGGATATACGGAGCCAGTAGTGTTGGCAATATATCTTTTTCCTCAGGTGGAATCTTTTTATGAAATACGCGATGAGCTTCTTCAATATATAATATTGTTGGCTGAAATTCCCGCGCTACTTTCATGACAATATGTAAAAACATGTCCATGTCTTGAGAGAAATTGCAAACCTTTTCCGGACTGAGATTTATAAAAACAGCATCTGTAGAATTGTATATATATATATTATTTAAGATAATATTGTCTATAATCAAGTGCTCATACCCAACTCAGATGCAATTATATTGCAGAGCAGTTTTTTGCCGCTGTTGACTGGTCCAACGAGCAAAATTGACTTGGGTTTAGCAATATCAAATTCGCTCATTCCAAGCATACTTTCCTGAACAACCATTTTAATGTCTCCTTTGGCAGGGCCGACAGTTCTAGAATTACACAAGAAATGATCGAAGTTAAAATAGCGATTTTAGGGAGTCACAAAGTCAAAAATGATGCCAATAAGTCTATAAACAAACAACAATCGACAAATTGAAGTAAGATGGAAGAGTCTGAATACTAACTAGCACAAACAATACGGTCTCAGTTAAAGAAAAAAAAAACAAAAACTAGAACTATATTATCTATGATTGCATTGGAATAAATTCTTACGTTAAATAGTCGTCATCTCTAGTATCATCAGCAATAAAATTAAAGTCAGCAATGAATTCATTGAAGTCTCTATGAGAAACTTCTTCAATTACAGATGCGTCCTTCAGTTCGTGATACAATGAACTGAGAGTTCTATCTCCTGTCGGATCTATAGCTCTTTTCTTCTTTTTGCCCTTCTTCTTCTTCTTGTTTTTCACCTTCCCAGGTTTATAGGGCTCATCTTGATCTGCAGCTAAAGCACTTTTTAGCAGTTCATATTCAACGCTGAAATTATTATAAAACATATTTTATAAATTGTCTTAATTTTGACAATCTAACTGTTCTAACTTATTACTTTTTTTTTAAACGAAAATTTCCAATGAATGGATTTTTAAGCTGAGGAAATATTGTTAATATTTACCGCATATACTCGTCTACCAATTCTCGCAGTTCGTGATGTATTACATCTAATTGTTCTTCAGTCACCCATGCTTTAATTGGATCATGATTCTTATTTAGATATTCATCAACATTTCGCCAATCGATTGAAAATTGCTTCATTGTCTCTTCAATATTAACTGTTAAAATTCAATAGATTAAAAGATAATTTAGTTAATATTTACCTTACTCAAATGATATGATATCTCATAAATCTGATATTTTCAGTAACTTAGTTCTAATAGCATACCTATTGGCTTGCTTGATGCTATTGAATAGGCGACATCAATTATTCCGGCATCTTTTAATTTCTTCCTTCGCTTCGCATCCTTTATTTTTTGGTTCTTAATTTTCTCTTTCATTTTCCTCTTTTCCGCTTTTTTCTTATCTTTTATTTTTTTCTTTTCCTCGTTTGTCAAGGGTTTTTTGGTTAGACTCTCCTGAAACGCTCCTACGTCCATAGTTTCGTCAATAACAACCAACACAGTTCCGTTCTTGACTGGATCAGGATATGGGTGGAAATTCCCAGTTGCTGTATAACTGTAGGTAAAAAAAATTTATAGTTTATTTGTATTAGTTCAAATGTCAATTTGTTGTTCAATATCAAAAAATACTTACAATTCTGCAAACCAACCGCGAATATGATCAGAAATATCTTCCATCATCCAGGGGCTTCGTAATTGAAGCAAGCGGGTTCGTTCATCCATAATAAGTTGCTCAAATTCCTCATCAAGTTTTCTTCTCTTCTGCTCATTTCTATACATATCAAGAACAGAATTAGAAAACTGGTTGGGTCTTTTTAGTTGTCGTATTTTTCGAATGCCCAATAATTCTCTTTTAAATTGTTTTTTGATTTTATAAATTTTTTTTGTTTTATACGCTCTCCACCAAGATTGAATAAGGCTCGCTGCGCGATTTCGAATTTCTTTTAAATCTTCTATATTATCATCTAAAATTTTAATTTATGGTCTTATTATTTACAGTTTTTTTATAAAACTATATGAATGGTAGAGAAATAAAAAAAAACTCTACGTCTTCAATAATTTTTTTAAAAAAATTTTTTTTTACTTCTATCTATACCCATTGAAAATGGAAACAAATGTTTTTTTTAAAAAAAAGTGTGGTTGGAGAATATTTTTAAAATATCGTATCTTGATATTTTTTTTTTTTAAAAAAAATCAATATGATATTTGATGTGTAACTTTGAAATATTGATATATCAATTTTTTTAAAAAAAAAAATAAAAGATATATTTCCCACAATTTTTTTCACAAATGTCAATATTTTTTTAAAAAAACCAAAAATACTGAGGTAAGTCATAAAGGCCCAAAAAACTCATCAAATTTTTTTAAAAAAAGAAATTTCAATTTTTTTTGCGCTGCTGCTATTTGAGAAACTATAAAGAGAGGGAGAGAGAGAGGAAAGGAAAAAGAGTGCATAACCGTACTTCATATGGAAATGTGTTCATTTCGTGCCAGTGCTCGCAGCGCAATAATTTTGTCGTGTCCTATTTTTACTGCTCGTTTTTTTAAAAAAAGAGCCGAACAAACATTTAGTTGTCTGGTCTCTTCAATGCATTTTTTTTTTTTTAAAAAAAATTGTACTACATGTCTAGTCTATATGTTGTTTATGTAGAGTGGCTTCCACTGAAGCCTGAGTCGCACTGAAATGTTGAGTTCGGCGAGGTAAGGGTGGTTGCAATCAAGCTTTAAGTAACCAATGGGAACGCTATCTTGGAACGCTGTCTGCTGCTGCAAGCATTCTTGCTTTGTTTCATATAAATATAAATACCAAATGAATAATGTTGCGTACATATATACAACTTCAACTTCAATTATCTTCTGAAGTGATTCTTCACTCCTTGCTCTTCTTAGGAAGACAGTCAGACTGTGAGACAGAGAGACAGATATATAGACAGACACATGAACAGACATACATATACATATGCCGCTCAAGAATATATGCACATACATATGTATAAAACGGTGTTCGAATTAATAATGCTCAAAATGCGCTGAGTGACGTTTAAACTAAGTCGAAAACGGATTAAGTGAATGAGTGCGATAATATCAGAAAATTCAGCCGAGTTAATAAGAATTGGGTAAATGAGTTGCTAAGTTCACACACAAACACAAAATTGTTCATATATGTCGCCGCGACTCGCCAGCATGTAAGGCGGTTTTTACATGTTCATAGAAGTATAAGTTTTTAATTGAATAAGGTAAAATTAATAGTATGTAAGCGGTAGTGGGAAAATTGTAGAACCGTAAGTTGTAGCTGTGTAAGATATGGATAGTAGTTATAAGATAAATTAGTAGAGTGTAAGTTGTAAGTGTAAGCTATTGAAAAGGAATTATTAGGTTTAAGCTGTGAATATTAATTTTAATTTAAATTTGAAGAGCGAATGAGCGCGCCGTCGGCGATCAGCAGTGCAACCCTGCCTCAGCGTGGTGAGTGCCCACGAAAGCGGAGAACCCGCGCGAAAAGAGAACGCGAAAAAAATACCGACGTCTTAGAATTGAATTGAGAGCATTGAACGTGAGCAGGCGCACGAGTAGTATGTAAGTGGCAGTATGAACAATAAATATACACATCGAAGCGCAAAATAAACTGAGTGCATTTAATTCACGCCATTTATATATATATATATATATTTATGTATCTGTAT